TCCCATTTGATGGCTTCATCGAGATCAGATATCTGCCGTGTCTCGTTGAAGCGGAGCATCAGTGAATGCGCCAGATTACGAGCGGGAATGAATCGCTGATGGTGGGTAGTTGGAATTGAATCGATGGCAGAACGCCCGAGTTGAATAGATTCTTCGAGATGACTTATCTCTCCGGTCCAGTTGTACTGCAAACCCAATCCGCGCGCCAAGTGTTCCAAGTACATCCAATAGTCTGCTCGGTTGGGAGGGCATAGTCGCAAAACTTCCCGGTTCAGAGTGACTGATCTTTCGAGGTCGCGCCCATCGGATGAAGCGAGCTGATGGCGAAGGCCGAGAAGACCTGCTACCACACGGAGGGAATCAACGCGCCCCGGTCCAGCACCGGAGACTTCTTTGAGAGTGTTCAGTCCAAGTTCAATCGCTTTGTTGAGCTCATTGATAGCGCCAGAGCGCGCAGCCTTCGCATATAGCGCCCAGAGCATCCAAGTTACTGTCTTGCATCGATCAATGTGCATCTTTGGACATAAGTGCACGGCCTGCGCGACAACATTAAGGCCTTCATCCAAATCTTTTGGTCTTCCGAAAAATTGGTATCGGTAGAGTAGATACGCCCCTAGGAATCGCAGGTGTCGATGTTGATCGTAACAATGAGATGGAGGCAGGTCAACCAAGGCCTGTCGCTGGATGTCGACTGCTTCGTTGATCAAAGTATGAGGCCCGTTAATTTTGGATAACCTCCCCAGAATCCATGCCAGATTAAGGCGAATAGTTGCTGCCAAGTGGGTTCCCGTTGCGCAGAGTGAGATGGCTTCTCTGCAGAGCGACTCTGCAACGATCCTATCTTCTTTCCGGGAAACGTGGTCTGCATTGCTATCCAAGATGTTGGCGAATAGCCCCAGTACTGTAGGGCAACGTATCCCAGCTGTGCGGCACATAGACAGGGCTTCTTGCCCATATCTTACCGCAAGCTCCAGATCGCATTGCTCGTAATTGTGCTGATAGCGATCCACGTATATATCAGCCAGCCCAATGAGAACGTGATGTAGCTTCGGACGGGTATCGAGCGGGATGCGCGGCTCCGGATTTGGGACCAAAGAACTGGAGGGAATTGGTTCCTTCGTCTCCGATAGGAGCGCCTCGTATTGCTCGATGCACTGCTGTGCGGCGTCGAGATCGCTATTCTGGCAGAATTTCTGGTGAAGCTGGAATGCTAGATCGCAGCGCTCATTCGTATCAGATGGCACGGCTGCTGCAAGGTGTAGTTGAATAACATTCAAAGCAACAGAGAAAAACAGACTTACTTGCGCACTCGCAGATCTCCTGGCCGCAATAGATGTTGCTATCGTCTTGTCTATGAATGGATGCGTCTGCTGTGACTACTTCTGCGTGTGGTTAAGGAACGAGTGAATATGAACGCCAGTCGAGTATACCACGGCAGGAAAAAGGGGATAGACATACCAGTTGTCGTGACCGCCTCGCCTGTATCTTGCATGTCTGTTTGCCTTGCTCATTGTATCGGCAGATCCGCTTATATAGACGTTTCTACCGCGAGGCGCGATAAACATGGGACCGCGCTGTCAGAAAAATAGATCCAAACAGAATTCCCAGATGTCTGACGGTTGACGATGCGTAAAGCTGATCGCACTTGAGCGTCTTGTCCACCTTGGAGGAATCATGGAGCACTCCACGGAGCCCCATATTTTAGACTGTCCACACCGCGCCGCAGGCCAACAGAATGTGGTGATTGAACTATGTCGGACAAAACACCCATCATACACCGCTGTGCTTTCGGTAATTCAAACGCATGCATAGACTGCTCGAGCGCCGATCAGCTGAGAGATAGCAAAAAGGAATAAGGCAAGCGATATTTGGATTACCCGGTGAGGCGACCGGAATACCCGATCAGACCGAGCTGTTCACCGCGGTGCGATAGATATGAACACTCCTTGATTGCGACGGTGGCACGGTGCGATGCATGCAGTACTACCGCATACTGAGATAGATGCAGAAGCACGCGCGCTCGATGAAGGAGCTCCGCCTGATCGTGCCCTTGAACCGCAATGAATGCTGGGCGCGTCCGCCGATACCTCAGCATCACCTTGGGCAGCGACGTCGCTGATGAGCCGTGGTGCTCGCGCTCAACGCGCAGATTCATGAATCCAGTTTGTACGAAAACTGATCTGGTTTGGGCGAGATGGGATGAGCATGAACGCGTAGCCTGAGTCAAGGGCGCTGCCAAATCAGGGGGTCCCATGGGCCACGGGCGAGCTGGTAAGTGTTACAGGTTCCTCGTCTAATGATAAAACGTCTGAAATCGTGCTTCGGCGGGGCGCCCGTCAGTATTTTTCAACATTGCGTTGCTGACGGCGTCCGCGGCAGAAACGGCGGAAATCCCGGAGATGAGACTGCCAAGCATCAGGATGAAGAAGATCATGGCGCTCAAGGCCACAAGAGGATCAAACATCAAGTCGAAGTGCGCAGGAGATGGAGAAGATGCACTTTGTCGCGGATATGCAACACTCGGTGCCGGACGAGCAGGTCACGGGCTCGAGGTCGCCTATAAATGCCCTATGCGCACACCATACTGACCCGCGCCGACAGGTATCCCTGACAACAACACGCAGATCTCTTACGACGTGCTCAACTCTGCCTCCGCCCGCACTCGCGGCGCCTCCAAAGAGGGCATCCGGGAGCCGATCATGGCCATGTTCGACGACATGAGCTTCGTCTCCCAGGGGACGGTCTTGGGCTTCGGCTTTTCTGACTCTGACCATATCGAGAGAATCAAACATGGAGCGATATCGACGACGCCCATTGGAGAGAGCTAAGCACGAACAATCACAGAGCTCTGACCCGAGAGTTGGGTAGGTGGTAGCGGAATAGCCGGTTGCTGCGCTGCACTTACGCCACTCGTGCAGTCGTTGGGAGTGATGAAGAAGTAGGCGCCCGTTCGGCGATGCGCTGGCGACCTGGCTTGGCTCCGGTTTTCGCGGGTCCAACATAAGCATGCCCACGCCCTTAGAGGAACAGCATAGTAGAGAGAAAGTCCAAGACACAGCAAAAGCTCGGTATCGCAGGTAGACTTAGAAAGTGACGAGCCAGGATTGGTCTCTTCGAGTACGCGTCCGACGCGATTCGCTATCCGCTCAGGGCGAAGGGGTGTGATGAAAAAACATAATCGCGATAGACTCAAAAGTATCAAGAAACGCATGTATATTGGTACATTCTACACAAAAAGCGCGTATATTGCGTGACGAAACAACCAGACAATGAAGCAATGTGCACAGGGCCTCGAGGAGATGTAAGACGTATCCAAGAGTTCTCGGGCCGCCGAAGATGGTGGAGTAATATGAGCAGGGAGGCCAGAGAGAACGCATGCAGGGGAATAAACATAGCGGAAAAAAAAGACGAAAGAAGACAAAGGCTAGACGTTGTGACTCTACGTCGAGTCTGAGATCACAGCGACGCACACCGAAATATCTGTGCACATCCTGGAATCAGCCCTTCGTTCCATCAAAGATCCAGAATAACCGAAGAGCGCTTACCGTCGGCCTTGCCTCCTCTAAACACCTTCCCAGCCTCCCTCGCCCTCTTCGCGAACGGCACCTCGGCACCGAGTCCCACCTCGCCTTTGGCCGTCCTCCTCTCGCTCACCCTCCTCGCGCGCTCACACAACGCCTCGCTCAACATCCCCGCCATCGTCTTCCTCCCAATCACACCTCTCACACTCCCCAACCCACCCTCCTTCTTATTCTGCTCCCCTCCACTCTCGGGCATGAACGCGGCCCTCACCCTCCTCACCTCCTCCATGACCTCCCAATCCCACAGATTATCGCTCAACCCGTCGCTCGCCAACACCAACACGTCGTCCCTTCTCACCCTGACGCTCTCCACCCTCGCGTCCCCCGGTCGATGCGCGGACGCCGGTCCAAGCTGATACGGCGTATTGAACGACGTCCACATCTCGTCCGAGCGCCACACGACCTCCCCGCCGCGCACGAGAAGCCCGACCGAGTCGCCCAGATGCGCGATCCTCAGAAGCGCGCCGGACTCTTCCTCCTCGCCCTGCCGCTCCTCCCGCGGCCGCTCCTCCAGCCTCGGCTCGGCCTGGAGGACATCGGGGTCCGATTCCGGTGACGCCGCAGAAGAGGAGGATGATGATACCGAGGGCGGACACGCGTCGAGCACGGCGACGAGCGCCGTCGCCGAGCCTTGCATGAGCGGCACCGTCTCCCCGCTTCCCGTCGCGCTCGCACACGCCGCCCTCAACGGTCCGCGTTCCATCTCGATCTCGATCGGCCTCCGCGGCGGGTACGGCACGGGCGGGTATTCCGACGCCTTCCTCGCCGTTTCCTCCCGTCCTCCTTGGGCTGCGGCGGGTGAAGCGTAAACCGCCGCCTTCTCCTTCGGCACGACGTGCGCCTTCAGCGCGCTCTCGTACGCGCGCTCGAGGATCATGAGCACGTCCAAGCCCTCCTGCAGCTCGTCCACGTCCGGATCTTCTTCCTCTACCGCCGCTCTCTCGCCTTCTTCGTCCGCCCGCACTTCCTCCGCCTCGTCGTCTAACGCCTCCTGCTCGCATATATGCGTGTTCGCGCCCCAATGCTCGAACAGGTAAGGCGTCGTCGGAGCCGATGCCGATGTCGCTTGATCTTGCCGGATGTCGAAGATCCGCCGAGGCGTGGGGTTGAAGAACGACGAGGGCGCGCGAGGCGGCGGCGGTCGTTGTCGGTGCGGTATCGCGATCGGCGAGCTTGGAGAGATCGCCGAGGACGGGCCAGATGCGAAACGTGTCTTCTTCCCAGTCGACGACGACGACGTATAAGACGCAGCGTCGACCTCGGCCGAGCAGTAATGCATCAGTCTCCTTGCGAATAGCGCGCTCGCGCTCGGCTCGCCCCTGCTAATCGCATCTGGAGGAAATCGCGCATATATTCAGCATTTTTTTTTTCCGAAGTTGGTCGTAGAGAGGGGCCGATTTTTTTCACGTACCTTTTGCCATTAAGCGAGACCACCCGCCGACACCGTCCGCGACGCCCATCGCGTCGTCCCTCACGAAATACGCGTCCTCGCCCACCTGCACCGCTAGCCCGAGTTCGTCCGAATCGCCCGTCTTGCCCCCGGTGCGCCCGGCTTTACGGATCCGCGACCGTTTCGGGATACCGTACGCGCCGACGTCGAGGCGATAGCGCGTTCTGGGCGTCCGCCGCGTCCGCGCGCCGGGGTGGGCTTCGGCGGAAGACTCGGCGTCGGCGTCTTGTGCGCCGACGGGCTCGCGGGCGCCCGCGGAGCCGGCCGTGGATCCGTACGCTGAGAAAGGGGCCGGGTACGTCGCGTTCGCGTTGGCGGAACCGCTGGATTGTGTGTGGGGTGCGGTGAGGGCGAGAGAGGGGTGCGCGTTGGCGTTGGCGTGGGTGTGGTGAGTTTGATTGTGGTGAGAGGACGAGTTAGAGTTGTGTTGTGTTGCATAGGTCGCTGGGAGCTCGGATTTGGGCCCGCCTTCGCTAGGTAGACGGGCGCTGCCGCGCGGGGTTGTGCCCGGCGGCGGGGGCGAGTCGAAGAAGGCGAGGGGGGAGGGGGAAGGTTGGCCCGGGGCGGAGGTGTAGAGGGTGCGCGAAGACGGCGGCGAGGACGGCGCTGAGGATGCATGGCTTGATGTTGAGGAGGAGGCGGAGGAGAGTGAGAGCGAGGAAAGAGAGGCGAGTGTTGAGGTAGCGGAGTTGGAGCGGACGCGGGTGCGCGGGAGCACTGTGTAGAGCCGCTTGTGTATCGTTTTCATCGTCGATCCCGGTGCGCTCATCGTGTTGATGATTTCGGGGGAAGAGATAGGTCGACGGAGGCGGGGAAAGAGGAAGAGATCAAGGGCCCGGGTTTGCGATGCGCGTGGCGGTGACGCAAGGGGAAGGATCAAAGGGCCTCGAGTCAGCCCGGTGTCGCCGTCGTCGTCCTCGAGTCTATATCCCAGACGGTGTTAAGTGCAGAGAAAAGGAAAGTCGTCGGCTCGTCGTTGATCGGGTAGATGAACGTTGAAAGTCGGGAGACGTATCCCCGGATGAGTCGGTCGACCAGACACTTTTATTGGCCCGCTATATCTGCGATGCCCCCGCGATTTCCTTTGGAGGAAAGTGGATTGTTGCGCTCTATGGCCGCTTCGTTCTGGTTTGTAGAGCTGCTACCCCGCAACGAGTCGAAAGGTTAATGTACAATAACGCGGGGAAAGGAGCCTTGGCAGAAGAGAATCAGGTGCTGAACGAGGTGGACGGAGGGGCGTCGACCCGCGACAGCGGGCAGAAACGGCACTGCTCCGATTGGTCGACAAAAGCACTGCCACCGGGTGACTCCGAATCCTTCCGCCGTTTCTTCGTCGCCAACGTCGCTAGCGCTGTCCTGTCCTAGCTCGTCGACGATCACCCTGAAGATCTTGCAAGACGACCAAAAGTGGATCTCTTTATCTATACAGCAGCCAACGAGACAAATCCTCCGCGCAACACAATACCAGATACTATCACATGTAGTGTGGGATATTGGATATCCTGAGCCTCGTCATCGTCTTTCCATCTCAAACCGATCCTCCTGGCGTCCTGTTATACCGACCGGACTATGGTTACGGCCATGGCTCCCTCTCGGCTTGACATCTTCTAGAATAAACGCAAACATCGAAGAGTCGTTCACGGCAGGGTCATGGCTCCCCGAAGTTAACCGAACAACATACGATTCGTCGTTTGGCAAAACCGCTCCCATGTCCCAATACTCGGTTCCACCATCTACACGTTGAAGCAAAGCGCCTACTTGCATATTGCACCTGATTCGTAGCCAACTGGTCTTGACTTAATGCCAGGCAGGGTCGTCTGCGATCTGCTGCACGCGATCCCCTTTCATGTTCTAACACGGCATCTATACCCCCAATTATGTCTGGGGTTGCCCCGGTCCTGCAAACTCGTCCCGGTCCTCCTTGCCGACCTATCTGATACGCCGGAACGCATGTTCTTTGTGTGCTCCCACTTCAGAATCACGCTGCTACTAGAGTACTTGAAGTACTGCAAGCCGCTGGATGATCATTGAGATTTGACTCTCATAGATGTATGCATACTCGCGTCTCGCACATGACTCGCAGCTCAACCGGCCTTGACCAAATGCAACACAGGTCCGTTTAGATCATCTTTCACATATGTCTTTACATGGCGTCACGCTGAACGGGCGGGTTGAATCTACCCCAGATCGAAGTCTGGAGTTGCACCGGTCTTCACAGTGCCCGCCCTCTTGCCAAACGATCTGATATACCGCGAAAGGACCCCGGATTTTTTACAGATTGAAGCCTGGAGCCACCCCGGTCCCAAATACCAACAATCCACGATATCGGAACGCGCCACCAACCTTCATCATGTACACAACAGCGGGTTCCCTCTCGAAGTCAAAATCTCATGCCGCCGGCACTTCGGTCATCACCCACATCGTGAACCCGCCGAAGCGACTCTCGTACCGCTCCTCGCTCTTGGACTCGAGCCCCCACTTGCGGTACATCGCAACCTGGCACCTCCGTTTAGCGTTGCAAGGCTCACACAAAGGCTAGGCACACGCACATTCCGCTCCGTCTCAGCTTCGAGCACAATCGCCTTTCCCGCCGCTTGAGCCTGTGCACCGCCATATCAACGTCTAGTACTCGAGGTCATTGAGTAATACAATTGACCCTAACCTGAACAGCTTTAATCAGTGCGCTCCCGACGCCCTTATTCTGCTTCTCCGGCAACACACCTATTAGCTGCAAATGCCACGACGCCAGCTTCGCGCCCTTCCCCAGCGCGCCCTCGACCTGCTCCTCGTACTTCGGCAAGAACTAGACATTTCACGCCCACAGTCGTCATGATACCCGACAATATAATTGCTCATGATGGACACGCACGTATTCCGTCCACCGCTTCGCCAGCTTGGGTGAAAACTTTTCCCCAGCAGTTCGTTGAACCCCGCCTTGCCCTGGTCCTCGCTTCCCGCACCGGGGCTCAGCCACTGTTGTAACAGGATGTACAACGTCGCCGCCTACCTGTCGAGCAACGCGCGATCTGGCGGGAATCACGCTGAAACTCCGACAACTTCTCCCTCTCCCTCTCCGTAGCTCGCAAATCACAGCTCGCCATTGATCGCGGCCCCCGCGGCCGTCGCGCGCTGGAACGCAAAGTTGAGGGACATGTCGCCACCCAAACAGGTTTTCGTGAACTCGTCTGCGCATCCACAAATCATCAGTGTCATACTTCTGTTGTGACGCACGTTAGAGTACTGTAACTTTACCGTCGGAGAACGCGGCGGCGAGTATGGTGGCAGCACGGTCTACCTCGGCGGCTGTAAAATGACACGTTCATTATCAGTCACGCAGAGAAAGGTAATTCGATGTGGTACGAACGTGTCGGTTTCTGGACCTGGCGAACGTAGGTGAACTTTGACTGACATCGTCTTAAGGTCTCTCCTTACGATCGAGGTACTTAGTTATTGACAGGCGAGACCTCGACATCTTATACTTAATCTTTAGCCCAGCAATTCTACTTCGGGGACAGGAACGATGATATATACCCGCACGCGTGCTATGGACATGCATACAACACCTCATTCAGGGCTCCGAAATCATGACCCACATAGGGAAACCTCCTGCGGCGCTCTCGTATTGCTCGTGGCTCTTGCTCTCGTATTTCCATTGCTTATACATGAGCATCTTATTACGATGGGCTCAGATCGACAGCGAGTTACTCTTGTTGCAGCACTCACATTGCGCTCACTCTCGGTTTCAAGAACAACCGCCTTACCCTCGGCGTGGGCCTGTCAGAGCATCAGCTCATGCTGTCAGCCCCTGTCATATTACGTTCTGACCTTTGGTTCGATTGCTTGCATGAGGGCGGTACCAATTCCCTTGTTCTGAAGCTCTGGTAGGACTCCGAACATTTGGAGGTGCCAAGATGCTACCTTCTTCCCTTCCCCTAGGGCGTGTTCGACTTGTTCCTCGTATTTAGGAAGAAACTGGAGGATTTGACATCAATAGCATAGAATCGCACGCATATACCAATATCGTACGTATTCTGTCCACCACTTGGAGAGCTCGGGTGGGAACTTCTTCCCCAGTAATTCGTTGAATCCTGCTTCACCTTGATCTTCACTATGGGACGAACCAACACGAACATCAGTCAAGAGTTGCATTCGAGGAGGGGATCGCGAGACCTGTCAAGTAAAGCTCTCCCGGGAGGAAACCATGCGGCGACGCCTGCGATATCGACATCGCCGTAGCTCGCGAACCAGAGCTGGCCTCCGATTGCAGTAGCAGCGATCGTAGCCCGCTGGAAATCGAAGTTCAATGTTTGATCTCCTCCAATGCAGGCGTTCACGAAAGCGTCTGTTCTGAGGAAATCAGTACGCCACCCTGTCTATGAACGCGAATCGTTGCTGACCATCCTTGAAAGCCTGTTCCAGAACCGCAGCGGCGCTATCTAACTCAGCCTCTAAACCATCCCTCAGGTATCATTTTCGATTTAATGCGAGCAGTGACGTACTGGTAGGCTTTGTGGCGTGACGGACTCGAATAGCGGACATGGGCTGAAGGTCACTTGTAGAGAGCGACGGCTGTTTGCTCCTTCTTATACGCAACGATGGACACCAGAGCGCTCATTCAGTACCTTCGCGCATGTCAACAGGATTGCGGTGCGAGACATCAGAAGAGCATGATTCAGGTTCTGCCTATCCCGTAGAACGACTCCGCGTGTTCCACGAACATCACGCGTCTGAAGTCCACTCTCGAGCGGGAGTTACCCAACTCGGCGTGTTTTTCGCATGCGTCGAAACGCTGGCTCCTTTGACCCACGAAGGTACATCAAATGTATGGAGATATCGCCTAGGATCATGGAACACTGCAATGGACTTCTCATAGGTGATGCTCTCACATGGAGGAGATTGATTCGAGGAACGTATGATACCGTTCTATACAGAGCGGGCGCAGTGCCGTCGGCGGATCTAGGCTTCCACCTACCTACCTGTAATGGAAGTGACACCCATGTCGTGCGTGAGTGCTTTGGACAGCTTTGAACCTTGTGTAGTGCCATGAGGTACTTCGAATTTCGAACAGGCCCGCGTTTATTCCGGTCGTTAGCGACCTCCCCCCGTTGTTCCACTCAACCTGAGCTATGCAGTCACCTGTGCGTCTCCCAGAGATGAGCGCTGGACTCGATTATCAGTCAAAGGATGCGATGGCTTTGGCCAGTCTCGGCTACAAGCAGGAATTCAGACGGGTCTTCGGCGCTATCGAGATTTTTGGCGTTGTGTTCTCTGCACTGTGCATCGTGCCGGCGCTATCGTGCGTGATCCCCTCTCCGCGTTGAACAACGCTACAACGACGCCCACAGGACTGTACTCGTCTATGCTCTCCCTAACGGCGGTCCTGTGGCTATGGTTTGGGGAGTAAGCGCTTCTTATACCATTGCGTATACGAAATGGAGCTGACCTACGCATCCTTCTCGCAGTGGACCGTCGTCACTCCATTCACGGTCTGTGTCGCTCTTGCTCTTGCCGATCTCGCATCTTCTGCGCCTACGTCGGGCGGTCTGTATTATTGGACTCACCGTTTCGCAAGCCCGCGATGGAAGAACATCCTGGCATGGATCGTCGGATGTACGTCGAGCACCCTATCGAGCTCGGCGGGTTGTCAAGCGATAGATTACTCATCTATTGATTAGACACGAACACCCTGGCGTACATAACTGGAATCTCGGCTGCGAACTGGGGGATTGCGCTCATGATCGCCGCAGCAGGCGCGATAGGCACCGACGGCTCATGGACCCCGACTACCGCACAAATCTAGTATGGCCTTTTGCTTCATTGGTTCCTCTGGTCCTCTGACGGGTTTCAACTCTGTGATTCAGTGCAATATCAGTTGCGCTTGGTGTATCTCAGGCCATCGCCAGCAGTCTTGCTAGCAATATCATATCGAGGCTTCAATGGCTATACATCGCATTCAACATCGCGTAATTTGCCTCCTCACTCTCTGTTAGCTCAGTAATTGATGCGCCTCTAGTCTGGTGCTGATCATCTTGATCGGACTTCCGATTTCAACCCCGAGCGCATCCATGAACACCGCGAGTTACGTTTTCGGTCATTTCGAGAATTGTCGGTTCAACGACTGGTCGTTTGTCTTGGGATGAGCCGAAGCTAATCACTGCATCCTCAGTGACCGAATGGAAGGACGGTTTTGCATTTGTTCTAAGTTTCCTGGCACCACTGTTTGCCTTCGGTGCGGTCCCCGTCTATACCTCGCTTTGTCATACTCATCAGGATTTCCCAGCCGGTTACGATGCACCCATACATCTGTCTGAGGAAGTCTCGAACGCCAAGGTCGCTGTACCGTGGGCAATCGTTTCCGCCGTAGCTCTAGGGAGTGTGCTCGGCTGGGGTATGATGAAGTCAACATGTCCCAAGTCTCGTTCTGAATGCTGTATGCAGCCTTGAACGTCGTGATCGCCTTCTGCATGGGTCCAGACCTGGTAGCTATCCTTTCGGATCCTGTTGGCCAACCGATGGCCGTGGTAAGATGGTGCTCACCTACTAAGGGATTACCGCTAACGGAGATAAATCAGATCCTACTGAACAGCTTCGGTAAAACAGGAATGCTGGCCATCTGGTCTCTTTTCGTTATCACGTAGTACGTTGTTTCCATGTTTCCGTCTTTCTCTGCTAACTTTCCTTTCGGTAGCTGGATGGCAATTACGAGCTTGGTGAATCCAGTCACAGCAATCAAACAACTTCGATTAACAGCTTCGCATAGATGGTATCCGGATCACGACAGGTTTACGCGTTCTCCCGCGACGGGGCGTTGCCTTTCTCGAGCGTGCTATACCGCATCAACTCGTTGACAGGGACGCCAGTCAACTGCGTGTGGTTCACGGCTATTTTGTCGCTGCTGCCTTCATTACTCGCTTTTGCCGGCACTGCGGCCATCTCCGCGGTATTCACGATGGTGATCATAGGCCTTTACATCACTTATGCCATACCTATCTGCTCGCGATTTCTGTCGAACAACGACTTTGTACCTGGTCCCTTCTCGCTTGGGCGAATGGTGAGCTTTCAGTATCGTGTACCATGCGTTTCACTAATCCGGCGAGAATCAGAGCGCTCCCGTCGCATTTTTGGCCGTATCGTGGATGGTATTCGCCATAATCATCCTGCTCTTCCCGGCGTCTCCAGCTCCCACCCCGGAAGGCATGAACTATGCCATCGTCGTCATGGGAGGTGTCATCGCTCTTGCCATCGCTTACTTCTACTTCCCGTTAGTTGGTGGAAGACTCTGGTTTACGGGTCCGCGAAGGACAGTGGGGGATGAGTGTGCGGGAGCGAAGGACGGCAGTATGCACGATACCGGAGAGGGAGAGAAATGACCTCGATGTAAGACGTCTGCCCACTACGTATCAGCGTTTCACCACTGTACTGGACTACAAACCCGTTTTGCGTTGCACGGTTGTCGTTTTAGTCGGTTGTACCTTTCCGTACGGAATTGAAATCCGTGCTCGCCTCTTCTGTCCCGGAATACAGGTAAGGTTCATTAATAAACCAGGTCGTAGGCGAGTCCGGATAAAGCTTCTGGGAAAGTCAACTCAGTATTCGGCCGATATTCCGGTTCATCGTGGTAGTACGCCGTTTCCTGCTACTACCATGATGGTTTTCGCACCGTGTCAGCAGTGTGAAATTAAGTAAAACACACTAAGTTTGCGTATTGATTGGTCGTATTGAGGAATTTTGTTTCTTTGGCCACGAGTATGGCAGACATGCGGAGGAATACCCTCTTTTCTCGTTTCTCGTTACATTACAGAGGAATGAGGTAATGAAAGCCTGTTCCTACCGCTGACTTCTTGCACTGCATCTCTAACGCTCACATAAATCACGATCCAGAATGCAAGTCATCGACGAGGTTCGCTCGGAGAGAAGTAAATACCGGTCTTCGACACGATAGGCAAGTCGTTTCTCTGCGTGTATGTCGCCCGTCATCACGGGACTAGCACTTCCCACAGGCCAGCAATAGCTGTGGAAGTTAGATGCGCGATTGGCTGAAGTTAGTTGCGATGATGGAACCACAGCTGCGTGTCTTTTCCAGGCGGGAAAAGACACGCAGCTGTGGTTCCATCATTCCCGCTGAAGCGGCGTGTCGGCTGTAAAACAGCTCACGGGGGCCGTGGATGCACTGTGTGCGCCAAGCCGTGCGTATTGACGTGCGGTGCGGGAACCGGTTGTTCCGCTATTGGGACCGCGCCGGAAATATACCTACCTACCTACCGCACGCTCGTCGAACATGGCGGTGCTACTGCCACGGTCGTATCGACGATGCTGTGCCACTCCCACAATCTTGCATATCCCACCCCTCGCAGAGATAACATCATTAGACTCCACGATACATACACTACACCGAGCAATTCAGTCACGCGAATTCCATTGTGCGTGTGTAGTCATTTTATCCGCAAGCCCGACGCATGCTATGGTTTCTGATGTTGTTCGATGTAGTGCCACACTTCGCGATGAGAACGTCTACGCACTATGTCAGTTGTGAGGGTTCAACGAGTCCGCAGTGTTACCTCATGCAATAGTGTACACAGCTTCCCAATCTCGGCATACATAATCCGAGAATACATTCACAATCCTGACGGGGGCATAAGTGCAAGATAATGACAGGACAGCTTGCACCCACCCTGGCCCTTTCCACGAGGTGACAGGCTCTATGCGAGTGTCCTCGAGGCACAATATGGATTGTCACCGATAGCTCAGGCAATGACGAGATAACGCGGAAGGGCCGTTCTGTGTGTTGGAGTCTTGTCGGCAGGGAGTAGCAGTCTCGTGACGTCGTCAAATTCTGTGCTGGGATTCGACCTTACAGCGCGAACAGCGCGTTTACTCTTGTGCGAGCGATGTGCCTTATTCCAACACCCGTTAGCGCATTAAGCAAAGGCTTCTCGCTACATGACACACCTGTGTCGGCCCGCATCCGCGCCTGCTCGTTCGGCCCGGCAATGTTCATGGACCAGATTTGCCTCAAGTATCGTGCGCAGCTCCTTGCTACTGCCGTTCTGACCAGCACCCAATCTTCGGCGGACATAAGCGATAGCAGAAACCTCTTTCAAGCCGCGAAAATGAGAACAAACAAGATCTTGCATCATGGGCTCGGCCGAGCGTCACGGTAGCGTGATTGCGCCGAGATGGTCCTGCATAGAGTGTTGCTCTGGAAGGCATGCACTACCACTCGACTGAATGTAGATGCTCACCTGTGACGGGCTGGAAGATTGCTAAGTAACTTGCCTTGTTGTAGTCGCGGTACAAGCGAAGTGATTGTAAACCCGTGTCGCGCGGTTTGACGGCCCGTCAAACCGCGAGTGTCCCTAGACCCGCTGGCTCTTTTTCCCACGGCATCAGTCCCGGTAGATACATTTTTGTCGCTACGGTCATTAGTATGTTAGTAGAAACATCGGGTCTTATAAGAGATCGACGAGAGAGGTTAAGCGACAGGTCGACAGTCAGGCCAGGTCGCACATGACGAGATGAAAAGGCCCGACCATCCTCCAGCGTGATTCCCCCGTATGTCGCCGCCGCTCCCTGACGCTATCCTCGGGCCATCGTGCGCGGTGTTATGTGAGAAAGTTGGCGTTTGCAACCCATTCGGGCAGAGCGCGACCGAGACTAAGTTGTGATGACGCCGGGAAGGAGAACTTTGGGGTGAAGGTAATGTTGGCGACAAAGATGTTGGAGGTGGTGCCAAGGTTGAGCAAACTTTGGATCCGGGCGCGGGAGCAGGCTGCGCGGGATCATGAAGTGCGCAAGTTTACGGTTTCCGCCCGCTATCTTCTCAGTCGCTGTAGATCATCAGTGATGGGGCTCAGTAACAGAAACGGTTGGCTTACCTTATGGAGTTCAAAGCGACCTCCCCGCTCGAGCACGGAAGACGCTACACGCAAGTCTCGGCAGGGTATCGATGATGTATCTCATGCAATGAATCCGGAGGCCCTCGAGATAACACAAAGAAGTCGCTTCAGGGTGGAGGACTGAGGAAAACGGTATATGCAGGTTTGCGAGGAGCAACGAAGAAGAAAAGTCCGTGCGGATCATCGGCACCGGTCATCTTTTGCGCCACCCCGACCGCCTGTGCACGAACGCACGCACAGGCTGCATGACACAAATCTACTGACAGCCTCGACAAAACCTTTATCTCCGTACCTGGCGCTCAGTACGTGTAATCGGTACGTCGATGTCGCTGGCAATCCGGCGGGCTCAATAGTTCTCAGGCCAGTCAACCGTAAGTATGGGGTGACATGGAGTTGGTTTCCTGACGGGTCTGAGTCCACCGATCGGGAGTCCCTCCACCTTTCTAGTGGAGCGTCGGTCACTTCTTGCCATTCGTATAAGTGCGACAGACGCTAACTAGTAATTCTGTAGTTAAAGAGGAAAATGCGTTGTACGCTACGCGATCCCTAAATCGTAACTTACCTACCTAAATTCCCAGGGCTCACGCGGACTTCCGCTGGCGCGAGGTGCGTCACAGTACGTCCCGCGATCTGACGTCTTACTCAAATCCCACTATCTGACTTCCCCCCCTTTCTATGGTGCAAGCCATGTGCAATATGTCCTATCGAAGGACTCCGTTTCCAACTGCATCCGTCTGTGCATTCTTCGTGTCGCACTCGACTGGACCATTGCCTCGAGGGACCGAGTAATTATCTCGGTACACGTATCGAAGGTTGGCGGCTGGCTCCGGTCACTGAGGACTTCTATTACTCGGCGATTGTCATCAACCACATATAACCTTTCCGGATCCGATGACCCAGGTAGTCGTATACCGCCGATGAATTTCCCTGCAAATGACTGCATGGAGATATTTTCCTTTGTGCTGAGATAAGAAGCCTTTGATTCTATAGCATGAGAAGATAGAGAACAAGACAAGACAGCTATGCTGGATCATGAACTGAGGTGAATTTGCATTCTCGCACCTTTCTTCACTGCCATCGAAGAGTTCCATCCTGTTACAAACGATCGAGAGAGCTTCTGCGCGTGACAATTCCATGATGGAAGATGCAGGTCTACGTGAACACACACGATTTCTCCGGGTTATCCGAAGGCATAGAGCGTATCACGCCGTCGTGTTTTTTTATGAACGTTTTGTCTCACTGCGCCAGGATACCTACCAAGCTGCTGTAGCCGCTCCCCCCCCCCCCCGGTGCGAGGTCCGTAGCCAAGC